TTTGTTGGGGATGTGAAGGTTGAGGTGGTGATGAGGTGGTGATGAGGTGGTGAGGAGGTGGTGGTTGGTTTGTTGGGGATGTGAAGGTTGAGGTGGTGATGAGGTGGGGATGAGGTTGTGGTTGGTTTGTTGGGGATGTGAAGGTTGAGGTGATGATGAGGTGGTGATGAGGTTGTGGTTGGTGTGTTGGGGATGTGAAGGTTAAGGTGGTGATGAGGTGGTGATGAGGTGGTGGTTGGTGTGTTGGGGATGTGAAGGTTGAGGTGGTGATGAGGTGGTGATGAGGTTGTGGTTGGTGTGTTGGGGATGTGAAGGTTGAGGTGGTAATGAGGTGGTGGTTAGTGTGTTGGGGATGTGAAGGTTAAGATGGTGATGAAGTGGTGGTTGGTGTGTTGGGGATGTAAAGGTTGAGGTGGTGATGAGTTGATGGTTGTTGTGTTGGGGATATGAAGGTTGAGGTGGTGATGAGGTGGTGGTTGGTGTGTTGGGGATGTGAAGGTTGAGGTGGTGATGAGGTGGTAATGAGGTGATGGTTGGTGTGTTGGGGATGTGAAAGTTGAGGTGATGGTTGTTGTGTTGGGAATGTGAAGGTTGAGGTGGTAATGAGGTGGTGATGAGGTGGTGGTTGGTGTGTTGGGGATGTGAAGGTTGAGGTGATGTTGAGGTTGAGGTGGTGAGGTGGTGGTTGGTGTGTTGGGGATGTGAAGGTTAAGATGGTGATGAAGTGGTGGTTGGTGTGTTGGGGATATGAAGGTTGAGGTGGTGATGAAGTGGTGATGAGGTGGTGGTTGGTGTGTTGGGGATGTGAAGGTTGAGGTGGTGATGAGGTGGTAATGAGGTGGTAATGAGGTGATGGTTGGTGTGTTGGGGATGTGAAAGTTGAGGTGATGGTTGTTGTGTTGGGAATGTGAAGGTTGAGGTGGTAATGAGGTGGTGATGAGGTGGTGGTTGGTTGTGTGAGGTGGTGGTTGGTGTGTTGGGGATGTGAAGGTTAAGATGGTGATGAAGTGGTGGTTGGTGTGTTGGGGATATGAAGGTTGAGGTGGTGATGAAGTGGTGATGAGGTGGTGGTTGGTGTGTTGGGGATGTGAAGGTTGAGATGGTGATGAGGTGGTGGTTGGTGTATTTGGGAGGTGAAGGTTGAGATGGTGATGAGGTGGTGATGAAGTGGTGTTTTGTGTGTTGGGGATGTGAAGGTTGAGGTGGTGATGAGGTGGTGATGAGGTGTGGTTGGTGTGTTGGGGATGTCAAGGTTGAGATGGTGATGAGGTGGTGATGAGGTGGTGGTTGGTGTATTGGGGATGTGAAGATTGAGGTGGTGATGAGGTGGTGATTGGTTTGTTGGGGATGTGAAGGTTGAGGTGTTGATGGGGTGGTGATGAGGTGGTGGTTGGTGTGTTGGGGATGTGAAGGTTGAGGTGGTGATGAGGTGGTGATGAGGTGGTGGTTGGTGTGTTGGGGATGTCAAGGTTGAGATGGTGATGAGGTGGTGATGAGGTGGTGGTTGGTGTGTTGGGGATGTCAAGGTTGAGATGGTGATGAGGTGGTGATGAGGTGGTGGTTGGTGTGTTGGGGATGTCAAGGTTGAGATGGTGATGAGGTGGTGATGAGGTGGTGGTTGGTGTGTTGGGGATGTCAAGGTTGAGATGGTGATGAGGTGGTGATGAGGTGGTGGTTGGTGTGTTGGGGATGCCTTCCTTGATCTGTTTTCTTTGGTGATTTATATATAGACCCTATTATTTTTCATAATTTTACAGAAAAAATAATCCTTTATCCTAAATTGTATAAAATACAAATCATATATAAATTTAGAATCAGACAAAGTATTGAATTTATATGATCTGTACATGAAGCTTGGAAATTATCATGAATAATAAGATATATTGTGTATAAAGACAAAAGGTGAAGTAGCTTTCAAGTGAAAAAGAAATTGTGATATTGATGATAGTAAGCCAGTGTCAATACCTACATACCATCAAAACTGTCATCCTATACTGATAAATCTTACAATTTTATCTTCAGTGGGAAATAAACAATGTTCTGCTGAAAAAAAAAATTATAGTAAAGTTAACCTCCTCCCCAATAAGAAATCTGAGACCAATGTTGGTAATTAAAGCACTCTTAGACAGTTCCATCCATGAAGAGCATTTGATTTTACCATATGTGGGTGTTGGGAAATTTTTTTTTGAAATTTAAGTCAATTTGACCCTTTTTGGCCCTGCCCATCAGCTCCTGGGGGTCAGTCAGGATCTATACATGCATAACATCTAGTTGTCATCCCTTGCTCACAATTAAACATTTATGTTCAAAATCTATTTCGCCTCTATACTTCCTTTGGAAATTAAACAATTTATGCTCAAAATCTATTTTGCCTATATAAACTAAAGTAAACTTTACCCCCTCTCAGAGGGGAAATGTGAGACCCTTCGTGCCATGAAATTCAAATTTTGGTAAAGCACATTATGATGCTTCAATCCAGGAAGAGCATTTGATTCTACCATATCTGGGCGCTGATTTTTTTTTTAATCTGAGTCAATTTGACCCCTTTCAGCCCCATCTGTCAGCCCATGGGGTCAGCCAGGATCAAAATGTGCATACTATCAAGCCATCATCCTTCAGTCATACTTCTAACCAAGTTTGAAATATTTTCTATTGAAATTAAACTAATTATACTCAAAATCTATTTTGCTTATTTAAACTAGAGTAAACTTTACCCTTCCCCATGGGGAAATGTGACCCTGGGGCCATAAAATTCACAATTTTGGTAAAGAGCCTTAAGATACTTCTATCCATAAAAGCATTAATTTGATTTTACCTTATCTGAGTGTTGAGAAGAAAATTTTTTGAAATCTGAGTCAATTTGACACTTTTGGCCCTGCCCCTCAGGCCCATTTGGTGGGGACCAGATAACTCACTATTTTGGTTTATTCTAGGCCAGGCAAGGTTTCTGCAAAATTTCATTGAAATTGGTTCAGGGATTTTTGAGAAGAAGTCAAAAATGTTTAAATTGTTTAAGGACACATGGTGCCGGACAAAGATGATTGCAATAGGTCACCATAAGACTTTGTCTAAAGTATCAGACATCAGACTCCAGGTTATGAATCTATAATATCACAAAAAAAGGAAAACACAACAGAATCTTCTGATAATGTGATCAGGATTTCAATTTCACCATCATATGAAATGATTAAATGACATATATTCAGTTAAGCACAGAAGTAGCTAAAAATCTATTTCATCTTAAGTTTAATTACTTATAAAATAAATTTAGGAGGTTAATGAAGGGAGATAACTTTGTGTAATGTGGCATAGAGCCTTAATCATCGAGAAACAACATAAAATAATTAATCTCCATTATGACATATAGATGAATGATATTTGTCTGCCAGAATCATTTGGCATACGACATGGCAGAAATTAAACAACATGAGAACAGCTTTAGCTCCCGAAAATCCAATCCACCGATGTGAACGGAGTGCCAATGAACAATAAACTATCATTAGCAAGTGAAGCATTGACGGTGGCCCACATAAGTGATGATGACAAAGAATTTCATATTTTATCTAATTACTGTGTATTAACATTTCATACAGGTTCCAAATCATGTTTACCGAAAAATGTATTCAATTTGCACTGACTATGCAGTCAGCGATTGTGTATATATATATATACCCTATAGGTTTTTCCTCCCTTTGTTTTGTACCCATTATTTCTCAGAATAAATAAAGGCTGCTTTTAACGGGAAAGATTCATGCAAATTCTGTCACATGTATAGAATTTTTGGTTCGAGATTTCTGAAATATGTGAAGATAAGATGATGAGACCTATACTATCCCAAGTCTCTGGTTGTTAATCTGATCTAAAACTTGTAAGACTTTCTTCATTACCTCTACAGTTTTATTCCTGAACTGTTAATGATAAAACTATAAACCTAACATCACAAGTAATGTATCTGTTTAAACATCAACTGTGATACAAAAGTTGGGAGTTATCTATTTTGACGTGAAGCAAATTTACCCATGATGAGTAGCCTATCATGACAATGAGCAGTTACCTATTTTGACACAGAACAGTTACCTATTTTGACAAGGTGCAAAGTTACCTTCTTTGAAATAGAGCAGAGTTACCCATTTTGACATTGAGCAGCGTTACCCATTTTGACATGCAGCAGAGTTACCTACTGACATGGAGCAAAGTTGCCTATATTGACAGGGAGCAGAGTTCCATATTTTGACATGTAGCAGAGTAACCAACTGACATGAAGCAAAGTTACCTATTTTGACGTGAAGCAAAGTTACCTATGATGATGCAGAGCAGAGTAACCTATTTTGACAATGAGCAGTTACCTATTTTGATATGGAGCAGAGTTACCTATCTTGACATGGAGGAGAATAACCTATTTTGATATGGAGCAGATTTACCTATTTTGACGTGGAGAAGAGCTGCCTATTTCCACTAGGACAATAACTTTGTAAGTACTTTATTTTGACTGGATCAGGAGAGTATTTAAATCCATTTTGCAAAGACCGACTGGTTTTGACTCAACAGAAGTTTACTATTTTCCATGTATGATGAATATCTATCTTATCTGCAATCCATGTTAAGCTCTTCTTAATGGCCTGATTGCATTTTCAAATTTAAATTTTTGACCCTTCATTTAATTAGATAATTGGCTAGTTGCAGCACCCAAGTCAGTATATCAATTTCATCCAAGTTTATAAGAGGAGTCTATTCAATTGTACTATATTGCGCATCTTCCTTCTTATTACAAGAGATATGTAAATGCAGTTAGGTCATCGTGTGTATCGCTTTATCACATCAACTTTCATTTTCCCTTGCTGTTTAGTGTATTGCAGGGGGAGGGGAGTTTTGACAAACATCAAGAAGCGTGCCACTATATGAGACTTATTTCCATTATATTGAGCTGCATTTTTTCGGGTTGATGATATAAACGTTTCAGTGCTGTGATATCAATCTGACGAGAACTTCGGAGTCAATACCTGTGCCTGATTCCTCTCTCGATCTGCACACTCAGGCAGAAGATTCTTTAGATTGTAAAAGACGAGGTGACATGAAAAGCTATCCCAGACATATAGATCGCCGCCCTGGATAGCTGTAAGACCCTTTGATGTACTGTAGCGTTTCTGTCCCGAATCCTTGGCATTATTTTCACGCAGTTGTTTACAAAACGGCTGATCATTCAAACATGTGCGCCAATTGTCAACACCCGCCATCTTGAAACGTAGCCTCGAAAGGCTTCATCAACGATTACCTGACAATGCTGCTGTTGGTACTTTTCTGTGATACGATGTAGTTTAAAATACTCTGGAAGATACTACTTACTATTGTGATTTAATACTTATTTATAGGGCTCAGCACATCAAATGAGTTATATGGTAATTAATACACACAGTTAGAGAGTATCTTCGATTTCGGCCAGTCATGTGATCAATCGATCGGGGCTATAATCCCGTTCAAGATGGCTGCGGGAGTGCAGTCGATGTGTCAGTATTGGAAAGACTTCGATTTACAGGAACTGCAGGTAACTTTAATTTTCCTTTAATTTGTAGCTAACTTCTTATCAAAACAACATTATAAAATGTATTAGAGACTCTAGATAGATGTGTTTTGTCTGAGATCTGAAGTTATGCGCTACTTTATCCAACTTTCTGCTTCAACCTACTGACTATTGACTATAGTGTATTAGGCTATCAGCAATAGATCAATATGGCGGAGTGATCATGCTTTGCAGCTGAAGCAGACTTTCTTTTGTCTCCATAAAACTCGTAATGAAACAAATCGGTTTATTTCGTAAGCAACTCTGGAGTGTAAAAGTTAGAAAAGTTTCAGGTTGACGATCGTCTGTTCAACTGACAACATCGGAACATGTTGAAGTCAGACAATTGGGGATGAGGATGGCTGCTCTGTGTGGAATTAATCGGGCGCGAAGCGAGCTAGGGCGAAACTTGGTCTGTCTATATGGGTACATACAGAGATTAGGTCGAGTCATGTCATTTACCGGCAGTGAAACGAGGCCATGATTTGTTTGGGTTTTAGGACCTTTAAATAATATGTAAACAGAACGAAGTACAATACATTTTCAGACGGTGAAACTTTGTTGTGTATTGAACTTAACATGTCCGTGTGCAACTTTGTTGATACGGGCTTTGTCATATTTTTGTAGAGTAGTGATAGTTTGATTATTTTGTGTTGATTTATGAACAGATTCATGTACAAATGATAGTTATGATTTGAAACGGAAACCCAGCCGACAAATGAAATATAAAAGTGTTCTCCCAATTTCTTGACTGAGATATCATGTTAATTTATCTAAAAAAATGTCATGAATCAAAGAATACAAATAATGAAACCATATTGAGGTTTCTTGGGAAAAATACATTTATATTGAAAATGTGACATCTGGAAAAGATGAGGTCATTTGATACATGAAGTGACTTCATAGGCATATAATTTTATTCATTACATCATGATATATATAATTATATATTAACTGAATTAATAATTTAAAGGAAAAAAAGTGTTGTGTATCTTTATCACTTTTAAATGATTAAGATTATCATTAATATTTTGCACTGACAAAATTCTTTTTCCACCAATGATTGCATAAAATGATTTATCAATTTAATACAAAAATATAAATCAAATTTGTTTTCCAATCGATATATATTTAAATTCATTTAGGAAATATTTTGATGAGGTGATTAGTTTTACTGTTTCCTTGCATGTGTTGATTGTTTTGGTATAGCAGCGACAACTGTGAAAAATATATTGACAGGAGACTAGAGATGACTTCTGTAGGGTCTTTATATATACTGTGTTCTGTCTACAGACAAAATACTGTACCAGCATGGTAACATAGAAGGATGTCGCTACACAGACATGCTCACATGCAAAAATCAATATTTTCTTTTTATGACAATGCTGTTATTGATTTTATTTCTCTTTTGAAATGTCTTTCTCCTTGCCATTAATCATGATCTAAATTTGTTAGGAGAACAAATTGGGTTAGAATTATTGATTAGTGGTGTATTGATCCACCAGCGTGTCATGAGGGGCCACCAATTTCAAATTGCATATGAGGAATATATGGTGCCTGTATTGATCGATGCCGCAGAGTAGATCAGCTCCTGCTAGATGTAGGCAAATACAGATTTTTCATACATCCATATTGATTTTAATTATTCAAGATTTGATGCTGGTTAGTTTAGATGATTCTTGACAAATTTTGTGTAACAGCATTTATTGATTTTCAAAAATCATTAATGTAGAAAAAAAACAGATAACCAAAGTGTCTTAAGTTACAAGTATGTAATAATAGTATAGCTAATATTGGCAGTGTACTTACCTTGGTAAATTGAAAATTCTTGGACAAAAGTTTTTATCAGAAGTTGAAAGTGTGATGGTCTTTTTGAACACATGAGGAATAAAAATGAAAATTTGTAGGGAAAGATATCTGGAATGTCATCCACTATTCAGGAATAAAGATATCTGGAATGTCATCCACTATTCAGGAATAAAGATATCTGGAATGTCATCCACTATTCAGGAATAAAGATATCTGGAATGTCATCCACTATTCAGGACTAAAGATATCTGGAATGTCATCCACTATTCAGGACTAAAGATATCTGGAATGTCATCCACTATTCAGGACTAAAGATATCTGGAATGTCATCCACTATTCAGGACTAAAGATATCTGGAATGTCATCCACTATTCAGGACTAAAGATATCTGGAATGTCATCCACTATTCAGGACTAAAGATATCTGGAATGTCATCCACTATTCAGGACTAAAGATATCTGGAATGTCATCCACTATTCAGGACTAAAGATATCTGGAATGTCATCCACTATTCAGGACTAAAGATATCTGGAATGTCATCCACTATTCAGGACTAAAGTATGAAACAAGTTTTACTGAAAAAAAACAACTTTTTATAAAGATGTCTGTTAGTGTTCAAGGACATAATTCCTTTGACAAGCTACAGTAGATATTAAATATAGCTGATATTCCATTTTAAGATTTTAAAAACAAAGCTTGATTGATGAAGAAAGTATAAAGAAATAGAGGCCTGTTTTTAATACAAAAGTTTGGAAATAAACCATGTATGTACTTAAACAGTTATTGATTAGTGACAAATATTGATTTCAGAAATGGATTTCAATACAACCTTTTAATATTATATAATTATTCACCAATTTGTATCATCAGTTGAAAAGGACTTTATTTACATGAAGTACCAGTGAATATTGATTTCAGAAATGTGCTCTATATCTGTTTATATTTGCATCAGAAGTTGATCAATGTGTGTAATTAATTGACAGCTACACAACAATTTGTTTTGAAAAAGCTGTAATGATGTTACCTATTCTGCTCCCATCTTTTGTTTTTGAAAGAGGGAAAGAGGGGGGTGGGGGGAAAGAGGGGGGTGGGGAAAGAAATGGGAAACATTGTTTATGCTGGATACCATCAACAGTTACTGCAGGAGTATCACTGCTATAAGAAGTATACTTTACATATAGTTCACTTTCTGCTAATTTTTATTTACCGGCATGTGTATAGAATTTAGCATGAGTCTCAGTAGGAAACAAAATATTCTGGTACAAAAGTGAAATGGACATGTTGTTTTCATTCAATTATTGAAAGAAACAACTTGAAATTTACAGAAAATTAGCATTTTCCTCATAAATATAGATTCAACTGTTCTTATGATGCTGTCTGTATGTATTTCAGTACTACTGACCCAGGTAGTCAAACTCCACCAGCACATCATGTGAACATGTTCACTTTGGTATTAAATGTTGCAAACATCTTAAAACAATATTTCCACTTGTCAAAATAATTTGCTGATTTAGCCCAACACTAATGACTGTAAGTACACACATAGCTGACTGTGTATTGGTGGTAAGCAATATTGATCTACACGTATAATCTCTACACTCAGAAATCAATAATTACCATATTTCTTGATGTAAAAACATATATTGCTTGATATTTCAAAATTCGAGCATTTTTTCTCTTGAAGTTGAGGAAGATTTATGTAGAGTTGTGCCTTCTAGTTTAATTTCACATTTGATAATAAAACAATTGCAGTGCAGGAAAAAAATGGACGTAAACCTGAAATATTGATCATATCAAACTGAATTTTAGTTGTAATTAGCAGCAAAATTGGTATGAAAATTTGATTTAATTTTATCAAATATAATTTTGATGGTGTGATTGGTTTTGGATTAGGGAAGGGTATTAAAAAAAAAAGTACCTTTGGCTGAGGGTCGATAAAGGAGAAATGCTGAATAATAGTGATATTAAGTATTGGAATATTGATTATACTAAAATCATTGGTAATCAATAACTTGTGTTTGTGTAAACACTATTGTAGAAGGGACCTATTGATTTATTGACGAAGGCTATTGGGCTGTGCCAGCGTGTCTGTATACCATCACAACCATACAACCTAGTATTTCCTGTCTGGCTTGTATCACCACTCTAACAGCTAGATACACACACATACATAATGGTTTTCTATATCTGTCAAAGATACATGGATGCTGTTCCCAAAGAATTATAGCCAATGAACATGTATATCTCCATTTTGATCTCCCAGTCTGTTTTTTCTTCTTTTTTTTTTGAATTAATGGAAAAGAAAGAATTTGACAATATGTTTGTACATAGTTGTATAGTTATTTACCTAGTTTTTCTTGCTGCATTTTTTATTCCAAAAATAAAATAAAAATCTGTGTTTCATCAAATGTTTTAATAGTGTATTTCATATGGATATTTTGCATTGTATCAAACCTATGCATTAACTCCAGCAGCAGATGTAGATAAGATGGCTTTTAGACAGGATCTGTATCTTAAAACTCGGCTAAAATATGGCCACCTTCTGTACTGATACTGATCATTGTAATCACAAGTCAGACTCAAAATTTCAATTGAGGAAAAATGTTCTAGTTTTTAAACAAGAACCTAGTTACAGATGGTAACACTGAATTACAGCATTGTTCTTACACATAGCACCTAGTTACAGATGGTAACACTGAATTACGGCATTGTTCTTACACATAGCACCTAGTTACAGATGGTAACACTGAATTACAGCATTGTTCTTACACATAGCACCTAGTTACAGATGGTAACACTGAATTACAGCATTGTTCTTACACATAGCACCTAGTTACAGATGGTAACACTGAATTACAGCATTGTTCTTACACATAGCACCTAGTTACAGATGGTAACACTGAATTACAGCATTGTTCTTACACAAAGAACCATGTTTATTTTATAAAAGGTGTATTCTTACAGCTGGAGCAGGAGTCCAGATACTATTTCCTACTTTGTCTTTGATTTTCAGTAAAAGAATAATTTTTTTTGAAGATGTAGACACGTTAGTTTTGTTCGGTTATCTGATATGAAGGGTCATGATGACCTGTAGTCATCATGCTTGGTCCGTCGTTGTCCGCCTTGAGTCATATGGTGTCTGCCGTCCGTAAGCTTTTGACATTTCAAAGTTCTCC